CTGGGCCCTCGCGCTGCCCGCGGGCCAGGCTCGGTGGGCCGGGGTTTCCGCCCAGGCCCCCGGGAGCCGGTCCTCTCCCTCCCGGGAGCGCTGCCTGGGAAGCGGCGTGCAGAGGAGCGCCGGGCGCTGCTGCTTTGGGGGACACAGGGCGGGTCGCGGCGAAGTGCGCGTCTAGAAAAGGGAACGCCGGGCCATCTGGCTGTGCCTCTGCGAGTTTTTGTGGGCTTCTGTGACTCACCCGAATGCAGGTTATGAAATAACTTTATGATTTTTCCCTCTTTTTTGCACCGAGACAGGATACAGTAACGTAAAAATAAGCTGCCTCTAGGTTTGAAATCTAGACAGTTTTATTAACCAAATGAACTTGTTAATTACACGTTGATCTTTTCAATTATTTTTCTATCCTGACAGTTTTTGTTTTGTACAGAATAGTAATACACGAGCAGTGTAACATCTCTGACAAACACCGGGCGTCCTGACAGTAAATCTAAAGGGTGTAGACCGCTGGGTGGCCCGCCAGCCAATGGAATGAAATAGCCCGGGGGGTGTGTACTGGTCCTGGCTAGCACCGGATTTGAGCTTGGGGAAAAGATAAGTAGGTGAAGAAAGGAGCTGAGTCGGTTACAATTTGGTAACCACCAAGTTATCCTATACATACTTTAAATTTTTGAATGTGGATTTAGCTTATGCAGTCATATTGCTTTCTTTGAGAGAAAAAAAAAGTGTGGTTTTTTTTCCCCCCATATTTCCTCTAATAAGTTTCACTATACATTTTTAAAGGTGCTTAAAAGTAACCTCAAATAGGAAGGTAAAGAGTCTTGCTGGAGTTTGCAGAGAGCTGTAGGGCTGTGCCCTTTGTCTCTGTAAACCTGACACAGGGTTCTATTTTACCAGCTGACTTCTAAGGATAATTTTTAGAAATCTCTCTACCAGAAAAAAATTGACCACTGCTGGCATTCTCAGCTGGGGAGCAAAGGTTGTTTTAAACTGTTTAATAATTTACTTTTACTTGCTGGCTAAATTTGCATGGACCCCACCCACTTTTATGACTTAATCTGTAACACTTTAGTATCCTTTAGGTTTCCTGTTCTAAAATCAATGTTGAACCACTTTGACCTCTAGATTCCCTTTCCAGCTCCAAAAGTATATAAAATGTACATACTGTCAATCTCCTTACATTGCCTGTCTTCTTCCTACCACTCCCTTATTCTCTAAACCAAGAATACAAGTTCAGACTCTCAAGAACAGCAAGCAAGAATGTTGGAGGAAGAAGCAGAGTTAGCAGATAATAAACTGCAGTGATTCTTTAAAATGAAGTTCATATTACTATTTTGTCAGTATTTTCCAGTTGCTTAAAAGACATACAAATGAACTAGCTGTTTTTTCTGCAGGATCTGATTCAGTCCAGGAAGTTCTAATAGCCAAGTCCTCTCCTATCTTTATAAATCACAACTCCACAAACTCACTAAAACAACTAAAGTTTACCATAGTTCATTGGTCCTCTTCTTCTTGTTGCCACAGCAGTTTTAATACCATAATATTGAACCTAGCAACAAATTGCATCAGCCATCCTGAGCGCTGTTATTGTAGCGCTTGCTTATGCGAGTGTAAGATACGGTTTTCTCTCCCATTATCCCATTTACAAGAAGGCATGCCACTGAAAGCTCTATTAACTCCCAACATATAAACATTGAGAAGTTGAATTTTAACTAATAAACAGTAGCAAGCATTGCGAGATAATATAAAAGAAAATTGACCTCTGTAGTGATAGGTTTATTCTCTTTCAGAATTTTAAAGTATGGAGAGAATAGGTTTGGGGAGGATTGGTTTTGCTATGAAAGCTCTTAAAATTTTTTTAGTATGCTTAAGATAATGAACAGTATAATAAATGGATGGATAAGAAAAATTTGCAGACTTTTATGCTTTGCTTTCATGGCACTCCAGGATCTTGTACCCATTTATCACCCTTGTCTGATTGCAGAGAACGTATATTCTAAGAGGAACTTACTTTCAGTGGGGTTTTTTCCTCCAATTAAACATTTAAAGCTTTTTTACTTAAAAGAAAGTTGTTGACCTCTTTGGTTCCACTATGGTCTTAGAAATACAGAGTATATTAGGTATTGAGATTTTAAAAGATGCTTTGCATAATCCCTATAAACTTCACTAAGTTTTTCCCTCTTTTTAAAAAATATATTTTTATTGATTTCAGAGAGGAAGGGAGAGATAGAAACATCAATGATGGGAGAGAATCATTGATTGGCTGCCTCCTACATGCCCCCTACTGGGGATTGAACCTGCAACCCAGGCATGTGCCCTTGACCAGAATCAAACCCAGGACCCTTCAGTCCACAGGCCGATGCTCTATCTGCTGAGCCAAACCAGCTAGGGCTTGACTTGTTTTTTAAAAGCCAAAATGCAAAAAGGAAACTGTAGGAGGTAGATGGTCTTTGTTCTTGTCTTTGGGCAACAGGCTGCAGGGGTGGAAGCAGCTAAGGTTTGGTTGTCCCCCTCAGCCTCTGGGATATAATTGTGTGGTGAATGGTAGTATTTTGAAGAAGAAAGTATGAGAGTGTCTCCATCTGCTGCCATAAGATAAAATGTAGTCTTTGTAGGAAAATTAAATTTAGGATTAATCCAATCTGGAAGTTCAGTTAGATGACAGGTAATTTGTAGGTCTTTTACACCATAGCCTGAGGTTTTATATTGCTGCTGTTGTTATTTTTAATACTTTTTAGTTAAATATGAACTGTGTTGCTATTATAAAGGCCTTTTATTTTAAGGGGGGGCAGCGGGAATGAGGGGAAAGGGAGCCAAATGCCTCTAAACTCACCCCCAACCCCTCCGCATGCCAAATCTACTAAGGAAGAGCTAAGATAATGATGGAGACCTATATCAGATTGTTATTCAGTCTTCCCATAGTTTGTGTGAAACCATCTAGCTAGTTTGCTTTTCAGTAAAAAACCCATATGCAGGAAGACAAATACTGCTCACTCATTAGATGCAAAGTACACTTTGCAGGAATTGGGGCATCAAAAATCGGAGGACAAGCACCACTGTGTATTAAACTCCAAATGGGTAGTGTTGAAATGTAAGTTCAAGAAATAGCAATTGAACATGAACTTTCTGGCTTACAGTGGGAAGAAAGTGGGTTTAGCACTCTTTTGTTTTTTCTATATATTTTTAATTGATTTCAGAGATGAAGGGAGAGGAAGAGAGAGATAGAAACATCAATGATGAGAGAGAATCATTCATCAGCTGCTTCCTGCCTGCCCCACACTGGGGATAGAGCCCACAACTGGGGCATGTGCCCTAACCAAGAATCAAACTGTGACCTCCTGGTTCTTAGGTTGACCCTCAACCACTGAGCCACACCAGCCGGGCTGAAATAACATTTTATTTTTTTTATTTATTTATTTTTAAATATATTTTATTGATTTTTTTACAGAGAGGAAGGGAGAGGTATAGAGAGTTAGAAACATCGATCAGCTGCCTCCTGCACACCCCCCACTGGGGATGTGCCCACAACCAAGGTACATGCCCTTGACCGGAATCGAACCCGGGACCCTTGAGTCCGCAGGCTGACGCTCTATCCACTGAGCCAAACCGCTTAGGGCTGAAATAACATTTTAAAGAGAGGTTTTCCATTAAAAGAGGTTTGAAGAGCTTTGGTGTTTAACAGTTTAATGTGTAGCCAGAACAATGCATTTCTCAATTATTACATGTATTGTTAAGAATTTTCAATGAAATAATTTTTAAATAGCTTTCTTCTGAGTGG